GTACGGCTTTTTTTTTTTTTTTTTTTTTTTACTTTTGCTTTTGCTTTAATTACAGCTTAGTGATGCACCAGCATCCATTCAATCCTTCGTAGCACTATTATGTGATAGACAATCCTCCAGATATTCCTCTTGCCACTCTTTTTATCACTTGACAGTACCTTGAACTGAGTGCTGACAGCAACGTAGAGAATCCACAAGTTGAGAGTAGAATTTGTCGATGATGGTATTTCTCTTGTGAGGGTTCCTCCAAGTTTGATTTGATAGCACACAAACAAATTGGTCATTAATCAAATCTACTTTTAATGTGTTTTTGTATCCCACTTAACCATAACTATGATTCTGTAACTTCCTAATATTATACCAATCTCACTCTAAATTGCCCACAAAACTCCTCTGCCATGATATGGAGGATATGCAATCACTACAGCCACCTTAACTCTTTCAAACTGGAATGTTACACCCAAACTGCACAAAGAGACTTCCATCTTCATTCAATAAGAGGCTGTTGCCTTCTCTCAGATTTTCTTCCCTGCCCAGCCATATGTACTGGACAGTAGAGTGATGGTTTTGCTTCTTGTAGGTTTGCATTCAATCCCCAACTGTCCAAGTGGTTGGGCACCTTGCCTTCTCTCTCTGTCCTATCCCAAATCCTTAACCTCATATCCCTTCCTTCCAAGTGCTATATAGTAGGAATGGCTTAGTGTGTACGGCTGATACTGTAATTACCTTGCCTTTCCTCTTCCCTGTGCTTACAATTCATACAACATTCCACTCTTCTTTCTAGCTTTAAGCTGTATCACAGATAAACCAAGCACATTAAACAAGCCTTCTTTAAAATGTGTAAACACTTCCCACCTTCATCCTCCTGCTCCTCATTTATTCCCCTAATAATCCAAATAGATATATGAGCCTATTATTATTACCTAGGGCCAGGGCAGGTATATCAAGAACTTAAATGAAAATAATTTGTGGACTATGATGTAGTCATTAGTAAGCACTGAGCCTTGGATACCAAAGTGTTTGGTGAGGAGGGATGGGGATTATAAAGACGGGAAATGTAGGTGAGTGTGTGTGCTTCTGTTTAGTGAGCTGCCCACTTTGGATTTGTAGTAGTTTTGTGTGTATTGTTGTGTAAGTGATGTGTGGGGGTTAATGGCCTGGATGCATGGCTGCTATTGCTGCTGTTCTGGCTTTTTGAGCCAGTGGGCTTGGCTTGTTCAAGATGGTTCTCTAAGCATTAAGCTTTCTGTACTGCTTGCTTGCCTCTCAAAAGGCTTTTGTAACTTTTATTTTTATTTGGGATTATATTTGTTTATAAATTTTTTTGTTAATTATTTAATTATAATTATTATACTTTTGTGTATTTAGTTACTTCATCAAGAACAGGCTGGGTCTGGAAAGACCCAGCCTTTGGGGTCATCTGGGTCATTCAGGATACGGGATCACGGGAAGTCGGGGCAATAGACATGTCTTGTAACTTTGTGTCGAGTGATTCTTCTGGTTCCATGTGAGGGTTCTTGGATTTCATAATCACTTGTTGTGTTAATAATTTCAAAGGGGTTTTCACAGTCTGGGATGTAGATGGCTTTCATTTTGTAGAGTTGCCTACTTGAGAGGTAACCAAGTCTGATATTCATTGGCATCATTCTGAGAGACCTGTGAAGCTGGTCTGTTCTTACTGTTATTGAAGGTGATGTTTGCAGAGAAGCAGCATACCCTCTTTTGGAGGTCTGTTCTTACTGTTATTGAAGGTGATGTTTGCAGAGAAGCAGCATACCCTCTTTTGGAGGTCTGTTCTTACTGTTATTGAAGGTGATGTTTGCAGAGAAGCAGCATACCCTCTTTTGGACTTGACCATATGAACCAACTCAAATTTTAACTCCAGGGAGGGGGGGGGGGGGGGGGTATTCTAGCACTAGTCTAATGAATTTATATAGGTAAATCTTGACACGGGTTGGTGCTTGTTTGAATCTGAAAAGCTTTGCCAGGGAGCTTTTAGTTATGATTGGTTCTGCTTTGATGTACTTGGTCTGTTGATATTGTAGTCTAGACAGTGTTGGAGTTCTTGATGGCTGTGGGGTCTCCTCTGATTCTAACAAAACCTTTGTTTTATAATTGTAAATGCTAGGCAACCAACTGTGCTTATTTAGGCAAGATCCTTAAGCTGCAGGAAGTGCTCGGTATCGGATACCTGCAGGACTGTTGTCGACATATCTGCAGTATACACCCGGCTTAAGGCCCAAGTCAACAAGGAGTTTCTGTTCAATAGTATCCATGTGCCCATCATGGGTGCATGTATAAATAAGTAGATGGCATTGCTATGGGTTTTCCCCTTGGTGTTCTCTTTGCTAATTTTTACATGGGTGCCATCGAGCAGAAAGTCCTTGTTGACTCTTTACAAGTCACATCGTACACAAGATGATTTGCCAACTGATTTTGAAACCTACCTAACCCAACCCAATACAGCCGAACCTAAGCTAATACTGACGAGCATAATAATATACAGTATACAGGTATACGGTTTTAACAAACGGAAAGTAAGTCCAGCAATTGGTGTCCAGTTCGCAACTTCTTCTTAGAGGGATTAGCGGCAATTCTAGCCGCACGAGATTGAGCAATAATACAGCCAAATAATACAACCCAATACAGCCAAACCTAAGCTAATACTGACGAGCATAATAATATACAGTATACAGGTATACGGTTTTAACAAACAGAAAGCGAGTTTCGTCGAATCGTTTCGTTTCCGAAACGGCCATACCCCTTGTTGACATGTGCCTAAAGATGAGTGTATACTGTAGATACGTGTATATGTGTGTGTGTGTGTGTATACACACACACATACATACATATATATTTGTTGTACCTAGTAGCCAGAATGCAGTTCTTGGCCTACTATGCAAGGCCTGATTTGCATAATAAGCCAAGTTTTCCAGAATTTCAATATTTTTCTCATTTTTTTCTTATGAAATGATAAAGCTATTCATTTCATTATGTATGAGCTAATTTTTTTTTTAATTTGAGTTAAAACTAACGTAGATATATGACTGAACCTAACCAACCCTACCTAACCTAACCTATTTTAACCTAACCTAAACTAACATAACTAAATCAATAATTTATGTTCTTAATATAATATAATAATAATAATTAAAATATACCAATAGGAAACAATTTATTGAAAATAAGAAAATCACTCGGCCTATTAGGCAAATCGAGCCTTGCATAGTAGGCCGAGAAGTGTGTTCTGGCTACTAGGTACGACATATATATATATTTATATATATCACACACACATACATACACGTACATATACGCAAGAAGGTAAATTGGATTGAGAGTACATAACGTTGGTGTTTGTGTATTACATTCTTGCAAAGCCACTAACACTCATAGTATTTTGGACATTCATTCACGTATCTGATATTGAAAACTTGCTGTGGCTTAAGGATGTTCAATGCTAAGGTTCACTTACAAGACTGAGAGTGGAGGTAGGCTACCTTTCCTAGATGTAAAAGTCTCTGAAAGGAATAATGACTTATCACACTGCAGTCAAGTATGTTTATTGAGACAATAGGATTCATCTCAAAAGTAGAGTGGCTTAGGCAATTTCTACCCTTCTAAAGTTCTAGATAGCGTAGTCTACACAAAGGAAATCATCATAGGAAATGTGCCCTAATGCTAAAAGTGAGTGCCCTGATTGGTACAAGCAGAATGTTGCTAATGCCTATGTCAACCAATGTCCTCACACACAGCTCCACTTCGAAACATGTTGTCAAGGAACTTGGTAGAGTAAGGCAGGGCCTAGTCAATAATGGATACTCTTTAATAGATATGTCATAAGAGCTCATTAAAAGGAAGGTGAGCCACCATGCAACCTCAGATAAAACAGACAACCATATATTACTGGTCCCTATTATTAAAATATTCTACAGGATCTTCTCCATGGCCAACAAAAGATGGAAGAGAGTTCTGAAAAACTTAGTGATAGAAATGTGTTCACCAGCCAGAAGATTGAATTAATAATATACTGTATGAGAAAAAAAAACTACCAACTTGCTCGTGAAAAACTCCTAACACTAAACTTGAAAAAGAGCTAAATATCATTATTATATATATATATATATACTGTATAGGCAAGATGACAACATTCCTTTTAAGGTGCCTAATAATGCACAAGCAGCAAGGCTCTATCAAGGAATATATGGTCTTCATATAACCAGATCAGATATATCCTGTCAACAACAATCTTCAAGTATAGTTACAATAGAAGACTTGCCATTGGCAAGGCTTTAAACAGTAAATAAACCAAGCCAACTAACCCCAAAATTGCATTGCCATCATTGAGAACATGGCATAACATACTATATACTGCACCAGCCATTATGGAAAGAAAGATTGGTAAGGTCTTAATAAAATTGTAAAATGAACTTTGGCGAGTTAATTTTTCAAATTCCTTCTCAAGTAAAGAAAAACAAGGATAATCAAGGAAATTTGTGCTATAAGCATTGATCTCACCTTTTCTGTCATATTCAGTAATATATGTCAGGGAGAAAGACTGCTACCAAAGTATACTCATACATATATACATATATTTATACATATACTGTAATTGAATAAGCGTCAGATCAATGATTCTAGAATGAATCATTCCTACATTTATTATGTTCGTCTTTGCTCGAGAAGAAAGTTGAAAAATGAACTCTTCAAAGATCATTTTAGTTTTATTGCTGTATAAAAATGGCTACCAAAATATACTAATTATATATATAAATTAATAAATACAAATAAATTTAAAAAGATTGATTACTTTTTTAAGAGTTAAACTAGTGGAAAGATTTTTTTGTTGTGTACAGTAATTGTTTACAAGGTTAATGACAGTTAAAATGGTGTGAAGAAGTAACTGGAATATCAGCTCATATAGGTTTTGCCTTCCATTATGAGTAAACAACTACTGTAGTGATTGAACAGTATCTTAATAGTGGCTTCTTATTTTTCAGTTCGATCCCTGGAGAAGACAAAATACACTGGCAACTTTGCAGCCATGACGAGCAATAATGCGCTGCTCAACAGCAAGGCCGGTTCTCTCATGGAATTTGATGGTTCAGGCTCAGATACCTCTGACTCGGAAACGTCAAACAGTGTGCGTCGCAAGAAGCTAAAAACTTAGCCTACATTTTTTGTGTGTTGCCAAGAAGAAATACTTACTGTTTACAGTGCCCATTGATGATAAGCAATACTTCATTACAGTTTTTTCTTTATACCTCAATTACAAATCAGCAGATTTTCTGTGTGGGCACAAAACTTTGAGTAGGCCTTTCTGTTTGCAGGTGGGGCAGTGTATGTCTCAAATAGTTGTACAAATTAACTAAGGCCATAGTGACAAGATATTCTGTCTGTCTTTTGTTCCCTTCTCCCCCTCCCTCCTGCAAAATACTGGCACACACTAATATCATGCTCATGTAATGACCACTCGGACTTTAACTGGTTAAATCTGAAATTTTTAGGAACCTTGATCCCAGGTTTTGTTTAATTTGACTGAAGTTTATTATTACTGTGGTAATGAAAGACAACTATGCATTGTAAAATTATTATTAGCCAGTGACTGCCAGCACTAAAGCCAACATAGTGAGTTGTGTTAGAGAGCTCATGAGCCTTGTTCATGTTAGGACAACTCGCTCAATAATTGTTTCTGAGCAACCCATTTGGAAATTGATTTTTAAGCCAAAAATTAAGGTTATTTATTTTTAACATATATTGTCTAAATAATAATTTTGTTGAATGAAAAACCAGGTAATGCATTTCTACCAACTGAGCTTGGTATGTCCCACTGTTTAATTAATGACGGAATTTATAATTCATATTATAAGCATACAATGAAGTTGTCTTGATTCTGAGGCACATGTTGTACACACGACAGCTGCTTGTTGCTCGGCATGTCATATAAATAAATTATTTATATTGTTTTTATAATACAATAATACTCTGAAGAGGATAGGTGCCGTCAGTATTGCCACGATAGTGTGTAACCTCGTCTAGTGGAAGTTGACCCCAACCATCCCACCTTGAGGTTATTGCAGTTGTTTAACAATTTTGCATCACTATTTGGTGAACTTCATCCTCCTTAGTGTGGCGGACTGCAGAAAATTGCTAGTGATGACTTTTAGTCATACAGAGTAAGTATACATAGCTTTCTAAAAAAAAGAGTGAATGATGTCTAGAACATTATTTGAAGATTGTTTTACCAATCCATGAATTTCTTAATCAAATGCAGACCTCTTGTATTTTAACACCTAAGTTAAATTGCTGAATAATCTCATGGTGAGTAGCAGTTGTTTAGGTAGAGAAGGTTGGTACTGGGTTAAGGAACAAAAGAATGTAGATGTATTCATGTAAAAGTTTTTTGTTAATTTCTTGATTACACACATTTCCAAACAGAAGATTTATATATTTATGTACAGTATTAAAGCTCGAAAAAATAAGATATTGATGTTCTGTGGGTTTGTGTCATTACATACCTTATATATACAGTTATTTTTGTGTGGCTTTTAGCAGAGAAAGCAGCATGCTTTTCTAAAATAATTCATGTGCAAGACAATGGGAAGTTAAAATCAATCTAAATATGATAGGGGGGAACACCATAAACGAGTGGGAAAGACAGTAGGCCAGAGCCCATATGGTCCACATTCAACCCGTCTTCTTAAAAATAACGTCGCTTTTCGCTCGAATGCGCTCTATGGCTAAAAATGGACGTAATTTGAAATGAAATCAGCTCACAAAAGTGATGTACTCATGTTTTCTGTTTGAGTCGTCTGGCTTACTGTGTAAGGTTAGGAGAGGAAACATTAAATTAACGGTTTTCATGACGTTTTGAAACTTTAGGAGAATTTCCTGCCTACCTTTCTCTTTCAGTTTGTGTTTCTAATGTTTCTGGTATTGTTCCTAACTTGCCCCCTGTGGATAGTCTCCCTTCCGAAGTTTAGTACATCCTTGACCTGCATCACTAAAGCTTTTCCCCCTCCGGTTCTGAAATGCCTTTTCCTTGAGCACTTTTCTTCGCGCACCCGCTCCATTTCCATCTTTTCATAAGAAAAAAATTAGAGAAAATATATTAAGTAAAACTTGGCTTATTAGGCAAATCGGGCCTTGCATAGTAGGCTGAGAAGTGCGTTCTGGCTATTAGGTACGACATATATATATATATATATATATATATATATATATATATATATATATATATATATATATATATATATATGTCGTACCTAGTAGCCAGAACGCACTTCTCGGCCTACTATGCAAGGCCCGATTTGCCTAATAAGCCGAGTGATTTTCTTTATTCATATACATGGACTGGTATATATGCATACGTGAACGTGAACTATTTAGTCCAAAGAACTTGAAAAGGATGATGAGAGGAAAAACGATGGGGCGTTTTTTTTTTTATAATTTTTATTAACAAGTTTAGGTATACACAGCAGCGTGCTCCTACACTATTCTATATGAACGATTACACAGTGTAGATCAAAAACTAGCGATAAGTTCATCTAATACTCCCATCTCACAGGATGGTTAGTAATACATGGAATCAGGGGAGAAAACACCAGCCTAATACAAAAACAAATCAACTCTGACTAAAAATCAGAAGAGAACATGAAATGTAAGGGACGGGGGCAATGAAAGTCTACTGGAATGCATATGACACGTGGATGCCTGCACCACGGTCCCTCGTTTTTTACTACTCTGTAAACCAGTTCAGAGAGTTCTTCCTGTCGGGCGCCGCCTGAGGCTTTTATGAACGTCCCCCGCCACCACTCTCAGGCTCAGGGTCACATTACTGACCCCGCCCTGGATGCAACCCTACAACAAGCTGAGTACTGAGTACTGGTGGGTAACGCCTGAGTACCTACGTGCTGCTAGGTGAACATTAGTTTATTATTATTATTATTATTATTTTCTACCACACATTTACAATGCTAACCAGCATATATACATTTTCTTCTGTCCTCCATGGACAGGGTTAGAGATGTGTTAAACATATAGTTCAAGGGTTTATTGAACAATCAACCACAGAAGGTGATTCGGTGCTTTTAAAATGCTAAGCTAACTTACATACGTAAATATATAGATACACAGATTTACGTATGCCCTACATAAAGTGTTCGATGTGCCTTTTACATAGTTTCTTAATGTATATTTACAAAGGTAAAATGTAATTCTGATCAGCTTCCATATATACTTTATACACATACATATACATACACACACACACATATACGTACATATACATATATACATACATATATACACACACATGCATTCACATACATTTGTCTCTTTTACTCTGACAGGGTGAAATAGCTGATAGAGAAACTAGTGTGCAATTAAGCATTTAATCATTGAAGGTGATTAAGGTGCTTTTACAAGCTCAGGTTATATAGTTACATCACATACATACATTATATAATTGATACATTACATGGTTAATCTTGGGTATAAGTCCAATATATCAAGTGTTCCAGTACTCATATAGTAATTACACAGTTCAGCATACCTCAGCCCAGGAGGGCGAAAGTCAGTCAGTATGGGACATTCTACAATATAATGTTCAAGAGAGTGCATGTCTTCTCTTTCACAAAGTTGACACATTGTGTGCATTAGGTGGAAGGAAATGTGTCCAACTATTTGTGTCCCGCCCGAGAGTCAAACCCGGAGTTCTCGAGTGTGCGTCGAGAACGAACCCAACTGTATTACAAGGACCCTACTACACATATGTATGTATGTATGTATGTATGTATGTATGTATGTATGTATGTATGTATGTATGTACGTATGTGTGTGTATATATATATATATATATATATATATATATATATATATATATATATATATATATATATATATATATATATATATATATATAAATCTAAAAGGGGTACCACCTCTTTTGCAAGTGTAGGGACCCATAGCCTCGGAGAAGAAAATAAAGAGTACTCAGAGAAGACCTTGTGGATCCTCACTGAGCACTTTGATATTTTCTTCTCCTACCACCCCTATTCTTTTGGTATGTGTGTATATATATATCTAATTTTATTTTAAAATTTCATTACACAAAAATGGTTACAGCATTGGTTACATGCAGGGTACAAGGCTACTTGTCACAGGTTGTAGAGTTCCTCCAGCTCCTCAGATAGCGGGCAGGAACCATGGATGCAGTGAGCATTTCCTCTCTGGATCGCCACACTAAGGCGCTGAAAAAGAGAAAACTGGCGGCTCTAGGGTCTCTAGTTGTTTCAATTAGCTTGGATCACAGCTCCTTCAAAACAAATATATATATATATATATATATATATATATATATATATATATATATATATATATATATATATATATATATATATATATATATATATGTCGTACCTAATAGCCAGAACGCACTTCTCAGCCTACTATTCAAGGCCCGATTTGCCTAATAAGCCAAGTTTTCATGAATTAATGTTTTTTCGTCTACCTAACCTACCTAACCTAACCTAACCTAGCTTTTTTTGGCTACCTAACCTAACCTTACCTATAAATATAGGTTAGGTTAGGTTAGGTAGGGTTGGTTAGGTTCGGTCATATATCTACGTTAATTTTAACTCCAATAAAAAAAAATTGACCTCATATATAGAGAAAAGGGTTGCTTTATCATTTCATAAGAAAAAAATTATAGTAAATATATTAATTCAGGAAAACTTGGCTTATTAGGCAAATCGGGCCTTGAATAGTAGGCTGAGAAGTGAGTTCTGGCTATTAGGTACGACATATATATATATATATATATATATATATATATATATATATATATATATATATATATATATATATATATATATATATATATATATATATATATATATATATATATATATATATATATATATTGTATATACCCCAAGCCATCAAATGACTAAGAACTCTATAAACATACGCCGGCAGAACTCGTCCAAGTGGTTTACAAAGCACAAATAAAGAGACCCCGTGGTGCAGGTGTATGGAGGAGCCACGTGTCGTACACACCCGTGGCGGTCAGTAAGCCACCGCACGTCGCCGTGGTGAGACGTGTCTCAGGGTAGAGCAGTTACGGCCCCTCTATAATTGTTCTCAGCCAGTTGTAAGTAATATCCAACCTGAATGGCGTAAGGAAATAGATGAAAGATAATAATGTCTCTTATATACGTTTGCGTTGACATTGGTTATGGGATTGTGTTGTGAGTTGTAGTCAAATGATTGTGAAGCGAGCACACGTAAATTGCTTAGATTGATGGTCACTATGTTCCAGTGCCTGAACTAATGACGTGACTATTAATAATCATAATAATAATTCACTGTGTAGGGGACAGGAAGCCAGAGTATAGTCCTACACGTTAGGCTTTTATGGAGTTACCCCGCCCAGGCTACAACCCCACAACACGCTACCTCCTCAGTACCTACTTCACTGCTAGGTAAACAGTGGCATTAGGTGAAAGGAAAGGTGCCCAACCATTTCTGTCCCGCCTGGAATTCTCGAGTGTGTGTCGAGAATGAACGCGACTGTGCTACCAGGACCCATTATAATACAATAATAATGTTTTTAAGTATAAAAAAAGTACTCAATAGGGGTCTGATTACAATGTTAAGTTTAGATACTATATTTATATATATTTTTTATTGAGCCGCTAATTACACACATCGCTCCGGACATTACACGCATCGCTCCGGACAGAACTATTGATTTATACGTGTAGTGAGGCGTGTTTGAGAGTAATATGTAGGATGCAAACATCTAATATATGGGATTCAGTTTTTTTTTTTTTTAGCTAGGTGAGCCAAGCCCAGGGTGACCACACACTGGCTCGGGAACAGATCCACAAGGGCCGTGACGAGGATTCGAACCTACGTCCGAGAGGATCTGACTCAGGAGTTATCTCAGAATTCCTTCTGAGTTCTGAGGTAACTCAGGAAACATCATCTCACAACTCAGAAGGTTTTCTAAAAACTGCAATACAACAGTAAATAACCTTAACTCGTTCAATTGCACAAAGAAACATTTCGAAATGTGTTAGAAATTAAAGAGGTAGAGAAGAAATGTAATTTAAACAAGGGGAAAAATGCGTATTTCCTGCTGTTTCACCGTAACTAGCGTGACGTCACTGGTGTTAGTTTCTTAACAAACAGTTAAGCGTTACCTCACTTAATTAATCACTAAAGTCGCTAAATAATTTGAAGTTATGCCCGAAACGATTTGCGTAATAATTGACTGTATAATACACATTTACTGTTTGTTTTAAATTTACTAATTTTATTATATATTATTATTATCTATATGGAAGGGAGTACCATCTCTGGCTGGAAGAAGGGGGACCCATAGCCTCGGAGGAAACCACACATAACGTATTAGAGGGAATGTTTAGGTCCCCTCTAATACAGTTTCTGTGTGCTTTTCACCTACCCCCCACTTCCTTTTTGCTTTATTATGTATTTAAAGGTTACAAGATATACATTGGTTGATAAAATGAGTATTTAAAGGTTATGGATCTCTTGAAGCTCCTCCGCTTCCGGACAGGAACCGAGGAAGCAGCAGGCATTTCCCCTCTGGATCGCCACGCTGAGGTGCTGAAACAAAAAACTGGCAGCTCTTGGGTCTCTGGTGACGTCAATGAGCTTGGAGCCCAATTCCTTGAGAAATCCCAAGGCACTCTTGCCCCAGGGGCCATGCGTCTCAGACGCTATGGGAACAAAGAGGTATTGACCTTCCAGTCGCCTGTATTTGACTGATTTTGCTGTTTCCCTGTGGTTGGCCGCCCCACCTGCTTGATCAGCTCCGAAGTGTACATAGGTGTCAGCCAGGGTGGATACACATGTGTAGTCCCACACCAACTGTTTGCCCCTTTTCCAGGAGTATATAGTGATGCCATCAGGGCGAAGTGCGGGGTCATACAGGCTTTGGTTCCCTAGGATGCGAAGTTCTCTCTCAGCTGGGCACTGAGCTGAGACAAGGCTCCTCTTGATGATGTCATTGACCTCGTTGTGTCTTGCATGCCAGCCCTTTGACCTTCCGCAATGCAACCCATGCAGTCCGTATTGGTCTGCTTCCACCCCTGTTGCAAATACACTTGTATTCAGTGTGAATTGGTGCACCAAGGCGGAGGGCCACTGCTACACGAAGGGATTCTGGATCTAGACGCGTGCCCATTGTCATATATTTTATATATTATTATATATTTTTATTATATATCATTATTATATATTTGTATTATATATTATTAGTATATGTTTTTATTATATATTATTATATATTTTTATTATATATTATTATATCTTTATTATGTTTCATTATATATTTTTATTATATATTATTAAAGTTATACTGCATCAATCAACACAACTTGACAGCAGAGCTTGTCTTCAAGGCTTGAAGGCTTCTGATAGTGTCTAGTGAAAAAGTCAATATGATTGTGACATGAGATATTATCTTCTGTGGTAATGTGGTGGTTGTATTTCATGCAACGTGTTGTATTATGTGAGCTGATCTCATGCAAGACATTGTATTATGTGAGCTGGTCTCATGCAAGGTGTTGTATTATGTGAGCTGGTCTCATGCAAGGTGTTGTATTATGTGAGCTGGTCTCATGCAAGGTGTTGTATTATGTGAGCTGATCTCATGCAAGGTGTTGTATTATGTGAGCTGGTCTCATGCAAGGTGTTGTATTATGTGAGCTGGTCTCATGCAAGGTGGTGTATTATGTGAGCTGATCTCATGCACGGTGTTATATTATGTGATCTGATCTCATGCACGGTGTTATATTATGTGAGCTGGCTTCATGCAAGGTATTGTATTATGTGAGCTGGCCTCATGCAAGGTGTTGTATTATGTGAGCTGGCCTCATGCAAGGTGTTGTATTATGTGAGCTGGCCTCATGCAAGGTGTTGTATTATGTGAGCTGGCCTCATGCAAGGTATTGTAGTATTTGGCAGTCTCCGTGGTGTAGTGGTAAGACACTCGCCTGGCGTTCCGCGAGCGCTATGTCATGGGTTCGTATCCTGGCCGGGGAGGATTTACTGGGCGCAATTCCTTAACTGTAGCCTCTGTTTAACGCAACAGTAAAATGTGTACTTGGATGAAAAAACGATTCTTCGCGCCAGGGGATCGTATTCCAGGGACCATAGGATTAAGGACTTGCCCGAAACGCTACGCGTACTAGTGGCTGTACAAGAATGTAACAACTCTTGTATATATCTCATGCAAAAAAAAAAAAAAAAAAAAAAAAAAAAAAAAAATTGTATTATGTGAGCTGATCTCATGCAAGGTTTTATATTTTGTGAGCTGGCTTCATGCAAGGTATTGTATTATGTGAGCTGGCTTCATGCAAGGTATTGTATTATGTGAGATAGACTTGACTCGCATCTCCTGTTTTCTCCTGACTACATGTATGCTGACTTCATGCATGACTAACCACCCTATGAAAATGGGATATTAGATGAGCTAGGTAGCTCTGGATCTATTGCCTGTAATCCCCCTCGTATTGAATAGGCTAGTAGCACATTGTTGTGTGATTAATAAAAAAAACTTACACAGTAGATGGGTCTTTATGATTGGTATTTTGGCTTCAGTGGTTATATCCAATGTGTTTTCCAACTTTTTCTTGGTTGCTAAATCGCATTAGTAATCTGGTCTGATGTGTAACTCTGCAGTGTGTTAGATAATGTTTCTGTAGCCTGGTCGTCAGTTCTCCAATATGCTGATCTTTCCTCTCTTCTTTCGGAAGCCAAGAGTCGCTTCCTCATGCTTAATGTGCTTCATAGTCTGATGTGGTTTGTGTGTACACCACATCCTCCTGTGTTGTGGTGTGTGTGTGTACACCACATCCTCCTCTGTGTTGGTGTGTGTACACCACATCCTCCTCTGTGTTGGTGTGTGTACACCACATCCTCCTCTGTGTTGGTGTGTGTACACCACATCCTCCTCTATTGTGGTGTGTGTGTACACCACATCCTCCTGTGTTGTGGTGTGTGTGTGTACACCACATCCTCCTGTGTTGTGGTGTGTGTGTACACCACATCCTCCTCTGTGTTGGTGTGTGTACACCACATCCTCCTGTGTTGTGGTGTGTGTGTACACCACATCCTCCTCTGTGTTGGTGTGTGTACACCACATCCTCCTCTGTTGTGGTGTGTGTGTACGCCACATCCTCCTCTGTTGTGGCCTCGCACTCCCTGCAGGCGCGTCAGACCAAGCACTGTTACAAAGTCTTTCCGATCGTGTAAACATTCCTCACAACATTTCCCAGCCGATTGCTATTAGAGTATTCTTATCAGAGTGCTGATATCAAGACACTGTTATAGAGCACTATTACCAGAGTACTGATATCAGGACACTATTATAGAGCACTGTTACATGCTCTATATAATTTCTTCTAATGCCCCTGATGCCCAATTATATTTTCGTAATGCCCCTGATGCCCAATTATATTTTCTTAATGCCTTGATGCCCAATTATATTTTCTTAATGCCTCTGATGCCCAATTATATTTTCTTAATGCCCCAAATGTGGTCCCCGACGCAGATGATGCGGGTCTCCGGAAGCTGTTGGAGCTGGCTGAAGAAACAGGTGGGCCTGGTGTGTGTGGCTGGTCTCCTCGCCGTCCTCCTCCTCTACCTCTCCACCCGCAGCACCTACCGTGGTTAGTGAGAGAAGAGGCTATGGTGGAAGTGAGAGAAGAGGCTATGGTGGAAGTGAGAGAAGAGGCTATGGTGGAAGTGAGAGAAAAAGGTGGGGGGGGGAGAAACAAATTAGAGAGGGGATAGAGGGGAAGAGAATGGGAGAAAGAGTAAGAGAGAGGGGAGGGGGGTGAGAGAAAGAGAACGAGCTAGCAACCGTAGATCACATATTGTTGACAGTTACTGGTATAGTTATTGAGACATAAACCTCACAACAAACACCGGCATTGTGCTACCATTATATTACTGTGTGGCAGGTGTTGAGTTCCCTCTATTGTGTGGCAGGTGTTGAGCTCCCTCTATTGTGTAGCAGGTGTTGAGCTCCCTCTATTGTTAAACTCCTAAATAGCACCTGCTTATCAGTTTACAACCAAAATGTTAGATCACTTGGTAAATACTTTGATGATATAAATGCACTACTTACAGCACTAGGTACTAAATTATCATTCATCATTTTAACGGAAACTTGGCTAAGTAATGACTATACCCAACTCTACAATTTAGCTGGTTATAAAGCCATTCATAACTGCAGGCCTAATATAAAAGGAGGTGGCACAGCAATATATTACAAAGATACCTTCATTTGCAATAGTGTTATTAGTGATAGAGATGACTATTGTGAATATACCTTTGCCAAGTTCTCCAGTAAATCCCTTAAATCCTCCCTGACTATCGGTGCCATCTATAGATTTCCTAATACCAACATAGCTTTATTCTCAGACAATGTAAGGAATCTTATCACAAATAACAATCTCAACAAAAATCACATCATTCTGGGAGGTGATTTCAACATTGACCTGGGTCTTCAAAACAACCCTCAAGTTGACTATTTCCGTAACAGCATGCACTCCTGTATGCAAATCCCCACAATCACCAAGCCCACCCGAGTCACTCAAACATCTGCCACTACCCTGGATCACCTATGGACTAATATAACAGCTCCCCTTACATCTGGGGTAATCTATCAGAACAACTGACCACTATCCTACCTTCCTCATAGCAAACATGGACACATCACCACCAGAAACCAAGAAACTCTCATTCAGGCTACATAGTGAATCAGCTTTAGGCAATCTCTCTAATGCACTTCACAATATTAACTGGGAATCTGAATTTAATAATACACAGGATATAAACTCATCAACTAACCTCTTTCTCTCCAAAACTCTAAGCCTCTACAACACTCACTGTTCCCTCCTTACCAAACAAGTAACTGATAAAAGAAAAAATAACCCGTGGCTCACAAGTGGCATAATTAAATCAATCAACAATAAACATGAATATGAAAAGAAATTTAGGATTGGCCTAGTTACAAAGGAAGTAGTTAAGAGGTACTCATCAGTGCTTACCAGTATCATAAGAAAATCAAAACTTTCATATTATGAGACTAGATTCAAAGCAGCAAAAGGCAACATGAAAAGCACATGGAATACCATCTCTAATATCCTAGGAACTAAACAACACTCCCACAACCAGATAACACTCTCTAAGGATGGCCTTACACCGTCATCTGACTAAGAAATGGCGAATGAATTTAATAGCTTCTTTTCATCGATTGGTGCTAACCTTCCAAGTAAAATCCCACAGACTCAGACACATATCAACACATATATCTCAGGCAGCTATCCAAACTCTCTTCTCCTTTCACCAGTCAGCCCGACAGATGTTGTGTTCATCATACACTCACTAAAAACCAAAGCTGGGAACATCAGTGAAATCCCATCCATTGTATACAAGAGCACCTCCCATGCCCTTGCGCCACCTATAGCTCTGCTGTTCAACAAATCCCTTGAGTGTCATACCTTCCCTGACATCCTTAAAAAAGCAAGAGTAACGCCAGTTCATAAACGAGGTAATCCGGCAGACATAAACAACTATAGACCAATATCGAACCTACCCATTCTATCAAAAATATTTGAAAAAATTATCTACAAACAGCTCTACTCCTATCTCGTAAAATTCGACATTCTTAGCCCCTGTCAGTTTGGCTTCCGCTCTCAAAAGAGTACCAACGATGCAATTATTAGTCTCCTTGATATAATTTACTCTGCCCTTGACAAAAATGAGCTTCCGATTGGACTCTTCATTGACCTGAGAAAGGCCTTTAATACTGTTAATCACGATTACCTCTTATGTAAACTCCATCATTATGGAATCCGAGGCCATGCACTGGACTATATCCAATCCTATCTTAGTGATAGACACCAATGTGTAGCCATCAATAATATAACCTCTTCCACTCTACCAATAACCGTTGGAGTGCCACAGGGCAGCATCTTGGGACCTCTTCTATTTCTTATATACATCAATGATCTGCCTAATGTCTCTAACATTCTGAAACCTATTTTGTTTGCTGATGATACTACCCTCATTTACTCCAACCCCAACCCATATACATTAAATGATGTTGTTAATAATGAACTAAAAAAAAGTCCACTTATGGATGTCAACCAACAAACTAACACTTAACATAGAAAAGACCTACTACATCCTATTTGGAAGCAAATCTACAAATGCAATTCAGCTTCAGATAGACAATGTAAACATTAGCAATAAAAATGATGGAAAGTTTCTTGGCCTATTCCTAGACAAGAGACTCAACTTCAGCACCCACATACAACACATAACTAAGAAAGGCTCTAAAACAGTTGGTATACTCTCCAAAATCAGATATTATGTACCTAACTCTGCTCTCATCTCTCTATATTATGCACTAATCTATCCCTATCTCAACTACGGTATCTGTGCATGGGGTTCAACCACTGCAAACCACCTCAAGTCCATCATCACCCAGCAAAAATCTGCTCTCAGAATAATATCAAATTCTGCTTTCAGACAACACTCAGCCCCCTTGTTTACCTCCCTAAACATGCTAAACATAATCTCACTCCATAAATTCTCTTGTGTCAACTACATTTACAAAACCCTGTTCTTAAATGCAAATCCTGCTCTGAAACTCTTCCTGGACAGATGTAATAGGACCCATTATCACCACACCAGAAATAAATATCTCTTTGATATCCCCAGAGTTAAACTTAATCTGTGCAAACACACTATGCAAATAAAGGGACCCAGTCTATGGAACTCACTCCCTATTGAATTGAAAAGCTGTCCAACTTTTACATCATTCAAAATCAATACTAAAAAGTACCTAATTTCATCTTCCTAGTTTTTCACTTTTTGCCTTAAAATTGCACTGTATCTATTGCTACCCAGTCTCCCAATCTTTATGTACCCAATCTGAACATCTTTACCATTGTGATCATTGCTGTCTTATATGTGCTGTCAATCTGCTGTATGGTGTCTATTAATCTTCTTTAAATTACTAATCAAGCTGTCAATGTAATCAATCAGAGCTTTAATATAACAATGTTTTTTAATATACTTACTAAGCTCTCTCTCATCTCATTTTTCTCTTGCAATGTATCTTTATCATTTATCAATTCTGATAGAAATTACCTACTTAAAATTATCTGCTAGATTAAGGACCTGCCCGAAACGCTGCGCGTACTAGTGGCTTTACAAGAGTGTAATTACTGCACTATCCAATGTATTCTCAAACCCAATGTACTTTCTTGTATATAAATAAATAAATAAATAAATAAATAAATTGTGTAGTCTCGGTCTCTGGCCGAGGCTACGGCCAGTTGTGTCGAGTACTCCATATTGTACTTACCTAGTTGTGCTTGCTGGGGTTTGAGCTCTTAACTCTTTCCGCCCGCCTCTCAACTGTCAATCAACTGATCTTTTTCCACACACACACTCAAGCCCCCCCCCCTCCACCCACCTCTCACAGGAAGCAGGCCATAGCAGTTGTCTAACTCCCAGGTACCTATTTACTGCTAGGTGAACAGGTGCATCAGAGTGAACGAAACGCTGCCAATTTCTTTCTGGCAATCCAGTGGACTAATCATGGCAATCCTGGTGTAACAAGACTATTAAATAGTCACACTCAAGAAACTGTTGACTCAAGCAGGATTGATGAAGATTAAGCCACCCAAAAGGTGGCACGGACATGAATAGCCCGTAAGTGGTGGCCCTTTCGAGCCATTACCAGTATCAAGAGCTGATACTGGAGATCTGTGGAGGTGCGACTGCACCCTGCGTGACGGGAGATGTCTCCCGTGATCAAACAGGCATCATATCACATCTTTATAACCGTGGTTGCAACCTGCTCTCGCACAAGACAGCACATATATGACTTATTGCTTATAGTCACTATTTCACTTATATTGAATATCCCGAGTTACTTTACAATTTATTTAAATATTTTAGTTTTGTTTTATTATTTTTATAAAACTGTAATATCAATATAGGCATAGATTCAGTACTAATTGTAATATCTTAACATACTAAGAAGGATAGGTTAGGTTGTGATTTTCTATTCAGCTTTTCAAGGTTAACTCAAATATTCATAATAAATTTGTATGTCACATATGCACTTATTCATAAGCAAGATATTGACTATAAGCAAATGCGAGAACGGGTTGCACCAATCCCAGTTCTCTTCTGTGTAGTTTGATTGCTGGTTGTCGCCGCCTGGTGGCAGCTAAAGTTCATTGTGCATCCCATTGTACATTCATTGGGAGCCGGTCGGCCGAGCGGACAGCACGCTGGACTTGTGATCCTGTGGTCCTGGGTTCGATCCCAGGCGCCGGCGAGAAACATTGGGCAAGGTTTCTTTCACAATATGCCCGTTACCTAGCAGTAAAATAGGTACCTGGGTGTTAGCTGTCACGGGCTGCTTCCTGGGGGGTGGAGGCCTGATCGAGGACCGGGCCGCGGGGACACTAAAAAAGCCCCGAAATCATCTCAAGATAACCTCAAGATAGATTCCCATACTCATCCTGTGAGGGATAGCGCAAAAAGGAATTACAGAAGACACAAAACGTTTTAATGAGATTTCAGCAGATTTTTGTACGTTAACATTTACGACTAACGTACACAGCTTATGATTTAATATGACAGCTTGTGGCAAACGTTTTGCATTGTAACATCCATATATATATACACAACATAAACATTGAAGGTCTGGCATGACAATTGTTCTGGTAAGGAAACCTCTGGTAACACAGCTGACTCAAACACTTGACTTGCGGAGTCGACAACATTATTTCATTGTTTATTATTAATGCAAGTTCTCTGTCTGTGTCTGTCTCTCTTTCTCTCTCTCTCTCTCTTCCATATACACTACAAAAGAATATTACACAAAATATAATTACACTGTACACAGGCAATGAGTTGCCTGTAACGTAATACATATCATGTTCATCATAGTTCTTATTAGCGCCTTTAAATGTTGTCTATAGGACCCAAATATCACAGTAACAAGGTTATCGTGAATAACCGAACTCAATTATGGGTTCATTATTGCCCGTGCTACATTGACATTTCGTTCCGAGTAGCTAAATCTAAAACAACAACAACATTGTCTATATTGTATTGTTTTGGGTTGTTGACAAAGTTGTGTGTATAGTTTACACAGTTTTGACTATTGTGTGTGTTAGATAGGTTGATAAAGATGTGTGTATACTTTTAGAGAGCTTCCTGATGAAGGATCAGACGTCGCATGCCGTACGACAACTTACCAACAAGACTTTCGCTGGTTTGGAACAGGACGATCCAGCGTTGGTGTCGTACGTCCGCCAGCTGATCATTCCCCCCTCAACAAAAGCCTACAATCTCACCAACCCAACAAAAGTCCATTTCTCCCAGTACGACCAGAGCGCTTTTGCCGAAAATACTTTTATCAACGGGATGGTAAGGCATTCTCGGTGGATTACTAGCTATTTTCTTCAGAACTAGAGATACGCGAACGCAAGCAGTTGTAAACTATGATAGTCTTACATAGCAATTACAACACCATTAGTTTTAAGTTTTATAATTTAATTGCGCCAGATAAGCGTTGAAAATATTTAGCCTACGAGGAATCTAATTTGAAAATAACGGTCCTCCAAGAATGGGAGACTGGTCCAAAATCAGTTTATATATAATTTCAAATTCATGTAATAATCAGAAAACGTGACTCTCGCATTTACATCCAATTATATTTTAACACAAGATTTGAAAAATATACCATATTTTACCATCACTTAAGAAGTTATTATATGTTGATCGTCCCAGGCTTCGTGAGCGTTTTCAGCCGGCCAGGATAGGCAGGGTCGACTGGGCACGTTTGAACCGCTCGCCCCTGTTTACCCAGCAGTAATTGGAGACCTGTTTAAAATACAATTGAAAAGTTGTGTTCTAGGGCAAACTAGTATTATAGTACTTACAGTAACAATTTAGTCGAAAGTACTACTATGTAATGATGAAGAGGTGGCACGGCTTGTATGTAAGTTTTTTTTTACACAGCAGACGGTAACACAGTGGGTATCTTTTCCTACCATCCTCCTTCTGTTAAGATAAGTGTCCTCGTCTCTCTCTTCCTCCGCACTCTACGCTTCAGCGACCCTCAATTCCTTGGGTCGCAATTCTTGGCAATTTCAGTTTCTGAAATTTTTTTTGGTTACCCTTTGCATTTCAACAACTGTGCCTACTCTCAAGCAAAACGCAATTTCTTTCATCCTAAACCTCCTTCCAACACTAGTAGCACTGTACTATGCTTTCCCTTCATATCTGAACTCAAAACTTTTACCAATACTTGACATAAAGCTCGCTTTTCGACAAACTAACACACTTCGTAGCAATCTAGTTCACACTGCTCCTCCTACTTCTAATGCTGCTAATGCTGCTGGTGTCTACTCTATTTCCTGTTCGTCTTGTCCTCTCCAATACTTTGGCGAAACTGGCCGTACACTGAATGACAGACTTAAGGAACACAAGAGAAGTGTTAAGTCTGCTGACACTAACAATGCTCTCTTCTGTCATGTGAGCTTCTGTCTTCTGAATTCTGGTGAGCCTACTCATGTGGACTCTCGGACTTGCACCCTTTCCTGTCTTGATTTTTATCTCTGCTCGTCGTCCGTTTACTTAGATTTCACGTGGCGGGTTCTTGATGACCTCCATAAGTGATCATTTCCCCATCCTCGTTTCCTTTTCCTCTTTCCAGCCTCCCCTCTCCTTCCCTAGGTGGTAGTTTGCCAAGGCTGTCTGGAACCTATTCACGCTCCGTGCTACTCTCTCTGGCCTCTTCTGTCTGCCTATTCCTCGCGCCCTCCTCCTTTTTCATGACACCGTCTTCGATTCTGCCTTCCGCTCTATTTCTCGCTCTACCTCCTGAGGCAGGGAAGTGCATTCCCTGGTGGAATGCAGACTGTGCTCGGGCTGTCTGCTGTAAGCGTGCAGACTGGAAGAAACACCGACGGCAGCAGATGGCTGATTCTTTTGTTTTGTTTCGGAAGGCTAGTGCAGTGGCCCGTAGGATCATCAGTACAGCTAAATGTGAGAGTTGGAAATCTTATGTTTCCACCATTACGTCTGATACTCCTTTGCCGCAGATCTGGAAGAAGATCCACAAGATTGAGGGTAAGTTCATTCCCGATGTCTCGCCGGTTCTCCACCTCCATGGTAATCTTGTGATGACCCAGTGCAGGTCGCGACCAAATGGGGTTCCCACTTTTCTACTGTTAGCTCTGGTTCTCATCTTCCTCAATCCTTCCTTCTTCGTAAACCTGTTCTTGAATCTCATCCCTTAGATTTCCACACTCATCTCCGTCTTCCCTATAACGGTCCTTTCTCTCTTTCTGAACTTCAGTCTGCCCAGGCCCTCTGCAGATCTACGGCAGCGGGCTTAGATGACATTCATTATGAGATGCTTCGCCATCTTCCTCCGTGCATGTATCGGTATTTCCTGAGTCTGTATAACCAGGTCTGGGAATCGTCGCCAGTCCCTGAGGAATTGCTCGATGCCGTTATACTCCCTATTCGGAAACCAAGGTCTATCGGTACTTCCCCTACGGACTTCCTCCCTATTGCCCTCATGACTTTTGTCTGCTTACTCTTTGAACATATGGTAAATGTTCGTCTGATGTGGTTCTTGGAACACCATCACCACTTCTCTCCTTCTGTTACGGCCACAATGGGTCGCAACCGGGTTCTTTGCTGGTGGGTCTAAAGTTCTGGTATCCAGCCCCAAGTTAGTAGTGGCTTTCAAGGAGTGAGCTCGGTAATGCAAGTAAAACACAATGGGGGAGGTGCATTGAATACAACACTTCATCAATTATCTATATATATTCACATATAATCACTTTCCCATCACCTCATATATAATCCTAAAGGAAGTATTACTACACTTAATATGTACACAAGTGTCTCTCTCATAGGACACTAAACGCTCCTCGATGCTCAATCGATGCAGTCTTGTCAGCTACCTTGTTTCCTCTACACACAGTACCGTCCTCAACCAGTACTGGGAAACACCAACGAGTCTACCCTAGCCACGGGCCAGCCAAAACACAGTCTCACTAGGTGCTCTTCGTGCACGCCCACAATTACTCTCCAGCCTGGTACTGGCAGAGAACATCAGCCTCACGCTGCTGGGCCTCTTCACATACAAATACAAGGGTAGTGAACCCCTGGCAGGAGCTTCTTGCAACTCGCTGGTTACACTCCTCCGTAGCACCTTATTGTCAGTCGTCTCTTCCGCTAGTCAGTCCCGGGTATGCTGAATTCTGTCACTGCCACTTCTCAGGCAGACAGTAGAACACTACACAGTTCTTCTCCGGCGGTGGCTGCTCACTGGTTCCGTAAAGCAGAATGGAGTAGAGAGCTATTGGCTGCCCTGGGTAGACTGACTGTCCTCATACCACAGCAGCCCTATGTTGACTCTGTGGATACAGACACGTCATCAGTACACTGGTCAGTACATGGGGCACTAGGAAACATCACTTACTTACTCTGACATAGACATACAACTCCTCCTATAATAGATGGCGCTGGTTTTCTAGGCGCCACCTCACCAGAAGTCAGCACCAGCTACCTCTCGAGCTGACTAGGACAGGAATCTAGCGCCTCGTGCTGGTATCATCCTGCCACCACTAGATGGCGTCGTCCATTTTGTGGGGGTTTCGGGAGCAGACTCACAGATGGCATTGACGTCGCTACTCCGTGCTCCGACGATGGAATCAGGTTCGTAACACCTTCTCAATTTGGTTTTCGCAAGTGCCGCAGCACGACTGATGTCCTGGTGAACTTGGAGGTCTATATTCGTACTGCTTTTGCTGCGAAGACCTCCGTTGTTGCTGTCCTTTTCGACCTGGAAAAGGCTTATGATACGGCTTGGAGATGCCATATTATGTCCCAGCTTCGTTCTTTTGGCCTTCGTGGTAATCTCCCTCACTTCCTCTTTCGTCGTTCCTTTAGAGTCAGGCTTGGTGCCACTCTCTCTGCCTCTTTTCGGCAGTACGAAGGTGTTCCCCAAGGTAGTGTTCTGAGCACTACTCTTTTTCTGGTTGCCCTCAATGGTCTTATTTCCTCCCTCCCTTCTGGCATCTTCTCCGCTCTTTATGTTGACTATCTTACTCTTTGCTGTCGAGGTGATGATTCGCCTCTCCTCCAACGGCGGCTTCAACTTGCGATTGATGCCGTGTCATCTTGGGCCACCAATCATGGCTTCAAGTTCTCTACAACCAAAACTTGTGCTATGACTTTTACTTGGAAGCGGGGCATTCTTTGTCCCTCTTTGTTGCTCTATAGTCATCCTCTTGTGTACAAAGATTCAGTGAAGCTTTTGGGGTTATTCTTTGACACTCGTTTGTCCTGGTCGCCTCATATCTTTTACCTCGGAGTTGAATACTCTAAGGCCCTTAACCTCCTTAAGGTTTTGTCCTATACTTCTTGGGGTGCGGATAGGCGCACGCTCCTCTATTTGCACTCCTCTCTCGTCCTGCCTAAATTCGATTATGGTTGCCCTGCATACTCTTCTGCTTCTACTCTTTGCCGTCTTGAGGCTTTGCACCACACTGGGTTGCGCCTTGGCTCTGGTGCCTTTCATTCCACTCCTACCCTTAGCTTGTACGCTGACACTGGCTTCCTGTCTCTCCAGGACCGCCGTGATCACTACTGTTTTCGCTATCTTGTGCGGTCCTTACAGCATCCTCACTCTCACCTCTGTCGTGCATTGACTTTTACCCCTACTGTGGTTCCTGTTCCTCTTCACCACTTTCCTCTTTCTGTCCATTTGTCTCGCTTACAAGATTCTCTTTCCGTTCGTCTTACCAATGTTTCTCCTCGTATTGTTCCATCCTTGCCCCCCGTGGAGGGTCCTCCTTCCCAAATTTTGTACTTCCCTGACCTGCATCACTAAAGCTTTTACCCCTCCTACGGTCCTGAAACGCCTTTTCCTTGAGCACTTTTCTTCACACTCCCACTCCGTTTCCATCTTCACCGATGAATCTAAGTCTGCTGATGGTGTGGGCTACTCTGTTGTTTTCCTGTCCATACTTATATGTGTCGCCTTCCTCTGGAGGCTAGCATCTTCACAGCAGAACGAGTTTTGCTGGGTTCCTAGCCATGTTGGCGTCTCTTTAAATAAGCGTGCGGATGCTTCCGCTGAGGCAGCTTTCCGCACTTGTCCCATCTCCCGTAAAGGTATTCCATATTCCGACTTTTACCCAGTTATTCATTCCTCCATCCTTGCCCGTTGGCAGGGTTGCTGGTCTTCTGTTATTGGTAACAAACTGCATACTCTTTTATGTGAGTAAATACTTCTAGGCCTAGTATAGTACATATATGACTATAATAGGCCTAAGATAGCATGTACTAGGCCTAGGATTGCTAGGAGAGGTTAGGCTAGGTCTTATATTGGTTGCGGTTAAAAATGTTGTGTTCCTTCAAATTTAATCATTCAAAAGTCAACTTTCTGGTGGTTCATCTCTACATATTGGTACTTTCTACCAAATAGTCCCTTTAGGTATTTTCATTTTAGGACGATGGGCTGAAATTAATTTATTGAGTCGATTAACAGGGAAAACCATTGACTAGCTTTCCATCAGCACTTGCAATCTACGCATAGTGAGTGACTGTACCTCTTAACCAGTTACAGCCCCGCTTCTGTGCCAGGTAAGTTCACTACGGGCTCACCATAGCCCGTGCTCCTTGCAACTTTTTGTTCCAAGTAGCTGAATCTAAAACAACAATAAATAACGCCTATTGGCGCAACGAGGGATATATTCACCGAGAAACGTACTCTGCTTCTCGGTGTATATACACTAAGAGTTTATTTTAGTACTGGACTGTGTTCAAGACTAACTATACTTGTTGGTTGGTCTGTAAGATTTTGTGGCAACCAATTGTTAGGCTATGCTCGACTAAACTGCGGTTGTCCCCAAGAGACGCGTTCATCAATTGTTAATTGTAGATAGTTAGGCCTAGGATAAGTTAGGCGTTTTTGGTTCTATTGGTAATTTTTTGTATTTGGGTGAAGCATCTAGAGCAGGGTTGGCCTGGTGGCTACTCACGTGCCCACCCTGGTCAGGTTTTTTAGTTAAAAAAAAACGTGTGGGTTTAAAAAAAATGCTTTAATATGGGCCAATTTAGTTACCGGTAGTATTTCTATTTAAAATTAAACTTTCATTTGTTTATTTATTAATTAAATAGATACAACCCCACGGGTTGAGAAAACCCAGATTTTTTGCCAAACCAGATTTAGAGAGATGCGAACTGAACACTATTCAGTGAAGGAGTATATGCACCTAGCGATGTATCCCATTTCTCAGTGTATATACACGAGTCAGTAAGGTATATACGTTGGTCAGTTGGGTATTGTAGTGGCCTTAATAAACCTCCCACGATTGATAGGACTTAAAACATCAAACCATACCTTGACAACATATGTTTATAAAGAGATTTGCTTAGTTTTCTAGAGGCTAGGCTGATGTAGCGAGCACGACAGTGACTAAATGTGTCATATTTTGACGATGCAATACACTAAATCTGTAAGCTTTATTTGTAGAAGTCCGATTCCTGGACTAGCGAGCATCAGTATGGAAACGTTCAATAGGATAAGGAAGGCCTGTTGGCCTCAAATTATTGAGGCCACTGAACGTGAATTTATAGTAGCCATGAACCCTATGATGTAGGGTGATGCGTTATTACTAATAATGTGTGTATGATTTGTGTCCTCTTTAGCAGTATTGCTCCTAATAATTGTGTCAAGCTTGTTAGGGTGTTAGACCATTATATTTTATTGTGGAACACTCTAGGGTTGGTTTATGACTTGAATGTCGATATAAGAGTCCCTCAGTATTTTTACCTTCTATAGCTTTACTGTCGACCATGTTTGAAGTCGATAATATTTATTATAATTGTATTTATGTAAATCTTTTATAATGGGAGCCGTTGCATGAGTGTTGATGTGGAGGGCGTTCCTGGAGAAGGGGATTCTACTTTGAGTATTAGTTAGCAGTGAGAAATTCACACTGGAGACGGAATCTACAATGAACGTTGGAGTAGATTGTGAGGGATTCTCCCTGGAGGGTTCTGCCATGAATGTTTTTGTACAGGGCGGAGGGTTCTTCCTGGAGATGGGAGCCCTGGACGGGGAAGACAAGAGCAACACTCTCTACTTCGAGAAGTACCGCGGCTGGTCAGGCCTCTTGATCGAGCCGGACCCCAAACTCTTTAGGACGCTCTCCGGCCTTAACAGGAAGGCTTACTCCATTAACGCTGCAGTCTCTCTTACCAATGTCTCCGCCCTTGCCACCTTCAGGTACGTCTCCACAGCTTTATTGTATTACTTATGTTCTGTGAATATTCATAATGCTGTTCACGGTTGATTTCCTGCTCTTAAATTGTTACTTCTTATTGCTGCTTGTGCTGTTCTTATTGCGTTTAGTTTAGGAGTGGGAAACCGTTGTAAGAGGAGAGCTCCAGGGCTCCGTCCAGGGACTTTTGTCGTTCATCATATATATAAACGATATAGACAGGGGTGAATAGCATTAACTTCTATAAGATGTAGATAGGCTTTTAAAATTGTACGAAATATTGGCGGATGTACTTTAATGGTGACAAATTTAAGGTTCTGATCCTAGATAATGATGATAATTACCGGATATCAAGTTGGACAATGTTAAAATTTCCAAATTTGAACACTAAAAAGATTTTGGAGTTACGATAAGTCTGGATCTTAAACAAAACGATCAATATTTGTACTATATATATATATATATATATATATATATATATATATATATATATATATATATATATATATATATATATATATATATATATGTCGTACCTAGTAGCCAGAACGCACTTCTCGGCCTACTATGCAAGGCCCGATTTGCCTAATAAGCCAAGTTTTCCTGAATTAATATATTTTCTCTATTTTTTTTTATTATGAAATGATAAAGCTACCCATTTCATTATGTATGAGGTCAATTTTTTTTTATTGGAGTTAAAATTAACGTAGATATATGACCGAACCTAACCAACCCTACCTAACCTAAGCTAACCTATCTTTATAGGTTAGGTTAGGTTAGGTAGCCGAAAAAGTTAGGTTAGGTCCAACTTGATATCCGGTAATTATCATCATTATCTAGGATCGGAACCTTAAATTTGTCACCATTAAAGTACATCCGCCAATATTTCGTACAATTTTAAAAGCCTATCTACATCTTATAGAAGTTAATGCTATTCACCCCTGTCAATATCGTTTATATATATGATGAACGACAAAAGTCCCTGGACGGAGCCCTGGAGCTCTCCTCTTACAATGTCGGACATGTGTACTCATGTCAGAAGACTTTACCTTTAAAGAACACAGTAATGTAGCCATCACAACTGCAAGAAAAATGACAGGTTGGATAACAAGAACCTTTCACACCAGAGATGCTATACCAATGATGATACTTTTCAAGACGCAATTGCTCTCTAGAGCGGGATACTGCTGCACAATGACAGCCCCTTTCAAAGCTGGAGAAATTGCTGACCTGGAGAGCGTGCACATTCTTTACTGCTAGAATCCACTCAGTAAAACATCTAAACTACTGGGACCGACTAAGGAGCCAAAATCTGTACTTCCTTGAGCGCAGGCGGGAGAGATACATAATAATTTACACGTGGAAAATATTAGTGGGGCTGGTCCCAAACCTGCACACAGAAATAACATCACATAAGACCAGAAGACATGGCAGGATGTACAGAATACCCCCGTTGAAAAGCAGAGGTGCAACAGGTACTCAGAGAGAGAACTCTATCAACATCAATGGCCCGAGATTGTTCAACTTGCTTCCACTACACATAAGGGGCATAACTGGCCGACCCCTCACAGTATTCAAGAGCGATCTTGACAAACACCTCCAAAGGATATCTGATCAACCAGGCTGTGCCTCATACGTCAGGCTGCGAACTGCCGCGTCCAACAGCCTGGTTGACCAGTCTAGCAACGAGGACGCCTGGTCGACGACCGAGCCGCGGAGTCGCTAAGCCCCGAAATCATCTCTATGTATGCATTTATTAGAGAGTCTAGAAGCTAGGGAACACTGCGAGATCGTTCTCGACCCAAGGTTAGTAAGTACTGTCATAGACAACCTCGTAGCGCTTCATAGCTATTAAACTTTTTATTAAATGCTAACTATGGCACCATGATTTAGGAAAGATGTACAGGTTTCGTAAGTGAACACTTCCGAAACATCATTGGTTTGATGAATTCTTATTCTGGTTATAAATCAATTGATGGAGCTTATTCCAAGGAAAACTAGTAGGGTTAGCTATATAATAGGGTAAGCTCATGGATAAGCTAGATGAAAGATCTAATCCTGCTTACAAATTAGACCTCTCCTTCTCTTGTATCAATCTGTAAAAAATAGCTTAGGATTGCCTTGTATCCCAGAGCCTTAAAACACCCTAAAGTCCAGTCCAGATCCACAGGAAGCCCCTGTTCTTCTATATAACTGAGTTTCAGGATTCCTCGTTACCCCCCCAGGCCTGCACGGGGCGAGGGGCGCATCTGGGAGAACTCGAAGAAGGGCATCACCGTTCAGTGCTTCCCCCTCTACACCATGCTCCTCGCCCTCACTGTCCGCCAGATCGACTTCTTCTCTCTCGACATCGAAGGCCACGAGATGAAGGTAACTGAACCCCCATCCCCCCCTTGTGCTTGTTGTCATACACCGGTGCTAAACAAACCGTCCTCCCCATCACTGAGAGAGGTGTTCCTCTCCATCACCATATGTTGTTAAACGTTTTTTGAAAGCATATATATATTTTTGGAGGTTTGAGCAAAAACCAAAAAGTTTTTTTTTAATTTTATTTAGTTTTATTTGATTTGATTTTACCTCGCTAACAATAATAATTGTGATACAAAACGTGTAGGAAGTAAATGCCTTAATATTTACATGATATAACAATATGAAATTCGTAATAAACATGAATCGTAAGTTGAAACAAACGTTGAATAACAGTGGATAAAATAAAAGAGTCTAGGCTTGTAGTGTAAAATAGGAGTTGCCAATTACTTCCAAAAGGAGGCGTATATAGGAATAACACAGGGGCGTAGGCCCAGCTAAGGAAGTTGAGATTTGATATAAGTGAAGACCAGAAGACATAATAGTAAGGTGGGTTTCACGATGGGGTGTTCCGGCAGAGCCTCCCCCCCCCTCCCTAAAAGTAGGGAAAATGATACCTGGAAGACCCTGAACACGGGGAGGGCGAGCGTTCGAAAAAGCAGGTGTAAATAGCGCAGAGTGGACGAGCTGAACTGCAGTCCTTGATTGATTGATTGATTGATACAGATTAAGCCACCCAAAAGGTGACACGAACATGTATAGCCCATAAATGGAGGCTCTTTGGAGCCATTACCAGTACCAATAACTGATACTGGAGGTCTGTGGATGGATGAGGGTCTTCATGGTCGTGCAGCCCTTGGGTTGTTGTTGTTATAGATTCAGCTACTGGGAACAAAAAATTCCAAGTAGCACGGGCTATGGTGAGCCCTTAGTGGACTTACCTGGCACAGAAAGGGGACTGTAACTTGAGCCCTTGGGTTCTTGTTGTTGTTTAAGATTCGTTACTCAGAACAATAAGTTCCAGTAGCACGGGCTATGGTGAGCCCATAAGTGGAGGCTCTTTGGAGCCATTATCTGTATCAGTGGCTGATACTAGAGATGTGGCGATGGATGGGAGTCTTCATGATGGTTTTCAGCCTGGAGGGCTGGCTATACCAGTTATGGAGCTAGTGGGATTAGTGTAGACCTCTAGGTTTTCCGTTTTTTCTTTGCCTGGGACTTTGGCTGAGCAGTGTTGTCGTTGGAGTTTGGCGACGTGGCCTCCACGAGGAAGTCTTGAACCGTGTAGGTGTCGTACTTGTGATGCGGTGGTGGAGCTCCTACTATGATTTCCTCGCCTGAGGAGTCCGTAACCTCCGTAGTGGGCGTTTTTGTCTTTCGCCTCGCAGCCTTAGGTAGGCTTAGGTGTAGTTGATTGGTGGTTGTAGCTATTTCAGGAGCGCTGGTAGTGCTTTTATCGTTTGTAGATAACACGTCTGCTAGCGCGGCTGCTGAGATAGTGATGGAAGGAGTGTTGGGAGCTGGAGAAGGAATTACCTCTGTTTGTGTCGCCCGGGTCATGGGCGGTTCTGGAGTCGGTGTTGAAGTTGACCGCATGGTCGTCCTGGTGGTAGTCTCCGGAGTGGTAGAGGAGGCAGTGAGATTTACGCTAGTGGCTATGATGGGGGCCAGGCCATTGTCTATGTATAATGTGTTTAGTTCACTGACAAAGCGCTGGTTGTCTGGTCCTGCTAGCCTTTCCGCTAGTCTAATAAGACCAGGAGCCCTTGGATTGATTGATGAAGATTAAGCCACCCAAAAGGTGGCACAGGCATGAAAAGCCCGTAAATGGTGGCCCTTTTGAGCCATTACCAGTATCAAGAGCTGATACTGGAGATCTGTGGAGGTGCGACTGCACCCTGCGTGACGGGAGATGTCTCCCGTGAGCCCTTGGTTGATTGATTGATGAAGATTAAGCCACCCAAGAGGTGGCACGGGCATGAATAGCCCGTAAGTGGTGGCCCTTTTGAGCCATTACCAGTATCAAAAGATGATACTGGAGATCTGTGGAGGCGCAACTGCACCCTGCATGACGGGAGATGTCTCCCGGACCAAATGGTGACCAAATGGTGTGCCCTTGGGTATGGTAGGACCTTATATACCCACCCAGGTCAAGTAGGGGGACCCCCTTCTCGTTATTTATCCATTGGGGGATTTTGACATTCCTGCAGGTAATGAAGGTTCTGCCCCACAGGAGATGACAGCCCTTCCCCTCCTTCCTGCAGGTGATGAAGGCCCTGCCCTGGGAGAAGGTGAAGGTGCGGGTGATGTGTATCGAGGTGAACCACGTCCCTGGAGGAGTGAAGGCCGTGATAGAGTTCATGGAGAGTCGCGGCTACACCTTCCTCGGCACCCGGAAAATCGACGCCTGGTTCGGTTTGAGGGAGCTCCTTCAGGAGACCATGGATCTCGACAAGTACCTCCAGCAGCACAAGATTGACACACTCAGGTTAAAGCTTCTCAGTCAGACATACACACAGTATCAAACCAGTGGGGGGCTGGTGGCTGAGTGGACAGCGCTCTAGACTCATGGACTTAGGGACGGGGTTCGATCCCCGGCACCAGCGAAAATATATGGGCAGTTTCCTTCACCCTGATGCACCTGTTACCTAGCAGTAAATAGGTACCTGGGAGTTAAGACAGCTACTACGGGCTGCTTCCTGGGTGTGTGTGAAAAAAATTAATTAGTAGTTAGTAACAGTTGATTGATTGACAGTTGAGAGGCTGGCCGAAAGAGCAGAGCTCAAACCCCACAAGCACGACTAGATGAATACAGAGACAGTAAGACATAGCACAATTACAAAGAAGGCAGAAAATGTGATAAGGTTCCAAAGTAAGTCATCCAAGACACACTTATTACATTTTAAGACTATGAGCCATCCCAATGAAAGAGCTTCACGGGAGTGCCTCTGTGGACAGTAGGTAACAAACATGTACAATCGAACGTGTGTGTGTGTTTATACACTCTGTTTGTATATACATCAGTTGCGCGAGGCATCAGTCCAGCGCTTGATCAGGACCAGCTAGTCCTGCAGCTCACGATGGACTCGCTCACGTCTCAGTACCAGCCAAGTCAACAGTGAACGCCTGTTGGCCTTCGATGTCCACCTTCTTGATACTTGAGCTCCTGTCGACTCTTGCGGCTTCAACATTAAAATTGACTGTGACAATTGAAGTTGAAGTCGACAGTGACTTTAGTATGAAAGAGACTTTAGCGTCGAAGTTGATAGCGACTTTAGCGTTGAATTCGCCAGCGACTTTACCGTTAAATTCCCCAGTGACTAGCGTTGAAGTCAACATCGATTTTAGCACAAAAGTATCTGATAACAAAAGAACATGATAACAGGAGGACTGCACGAGGCACTATTGCACACAGGACCAATACACCAATAACAAGTCGCTGATCTATGAAGTCAAACAAATTAATGTTATTTTTATTGTTAGACTTGTACAAAAAATTTTTTTGTTGTTGTCATATTGTACTTATGTAACATATTACCCTTTTATAAGTGTTAAATTTAAAACTTTTTGTATGATTTTACTACTTTTTTTATTCAATATTGAATGGTATTTTATACAGCACGTACATTAAACACTTGTGTATTTATTGATTTATTTATCGTATGTTTCCTTCAAATGTTGTGTTTTTGTAAGACTTGTGGGGAAATTGGCTCTAGTTCATATGCTATTAAAATGATATTTAATTCTACGATACTCGAAGAACCACTCCCTTTATGGGAGAAATAGGATAAATACTTAAATTGAATAAATTAAGAGAACCAGTGGCTTATGGATCTCTATGATTAAATACAATTAAATTCTAAAGATTCTATTAAGCAATAATGAACTGTAAATTCAATATATTCTAGAGCCGCTTCCCATGACACATTTTGGGATGGGGTCTTCTATAAGTTTAGTCTATGTAATGCCAATAATATATAATAAATTGCATGTACATAGATTATATAATGGTTAGTAAAAATGCAATGTAAAAATACTACTGCATATGAATGATCAAATCATGTATATGATTAATATGCAAATAATTGGAAATGTCTTGACTCTCAATATCTAAAAGGTATTAGCTACAATGAATACTGATAATATTCTCAGATGGTTTAGTGGAACGTGGTGTGCGTCCAATCTCCACAACATGTTGAGACCAGCCGGGAGATTGTAATCCTTGGGACACGTGAATGTGGGAACAGTATGCCACTAAGTGGCTCCCAGAACTGAAGGACAAGAGGTACGAGGAGAGGTTAGAGGCATTAAATATGCAAAAACTAGAAGATAGGAGAAAAAGAAGCGATATGATCACTACGTTCAAAATAGTAACAGGAATGGATAAAATTGATGGGGAAGAATTCCTGAGACCCGGAACTTCAAGAACAAGAGGTCATAGATTTAAACTAACGAAACAAAGCTGCCGGAGAAATATAAGAAAATTCACTTTTGTAAACAGAGTGGTAGACGGTTGGAACAAGTTAGGTGAGAAGGTGGTAGAGGCCAAAACCGTCAGTAATTTCAAAGCGTTATATGACAAAGAGGGCTGGGGAGACGGGACACCACGAGCGTAGCTCTCATCCTGTAACTACACTTAGGTAATTACAGACACACGCCTCCTCAGTTGACTTCCACCACGCTGCAATAATTAACTTCCATAATTTCCACTCCAAACTAGTATTTACACACATAAATGCAATATCTAAATAATTGGAGGGGAGGAAACAGCACTCACATGGGTGTATTTTATGGCCCCAGAGTCATGACAGGGTACCTACATTAATTATTATCACTGAGCTCAAAATAATAGTATAAAAGAGGTAAATGCCTGCCGAAACTGATGTCTGTGATTCTGGTAAGCTGCGTCCTCAATCTGAAGCCCGATGAAGTACGGATGCTTGCAGGATTGTAAGATTTGGAAGGACCGCTTCGGTACACCTTGCTGCCAGTAGATCTAATATGGCGAGAGTCCCCTTCCCTCAGGCACGCGCGCATGCGCAATAACTCCCAGTAGGGCCCCGAGCACAAATGATTTTAAGTAATTAAAGTTAAATAGGGACGGAAGTGTGTGTGATGAATATTTATGTCATAAACAAATGCATTATGTTATAATATATGATTCTCGCAGTGCAAGTCAGTTAATGTAGACTGCACAAATAAAACAAGAATCTTTTGGAAGTGGAAATTATTTTAGGTTATAATATTATGTACACGAACAGCTATCTAGCTGGGTAAAGAAATTCCAGTGAACTGTAGTATACTAAATAAAGTAAACCTATTAATAAATAATTATCCTTAATTAAAAAAGTAAGGCTAGATTCTACTCGATATGTTAATATGAAATGTTCCTGTGGCTGACGCAACACTGCCGGCGATTCTAGGGGGAAAATTACATGACGTTCCACATCCTAATGCAATGAATTCTGTGATACTAAACTACTGATTAGTAGTGTTAGTTAATTATGACACTTAATACAGGAAATACATCCCATTGTACTAAGGATTAGTAAATAAGTATTAAGTGATCATGACGCCTAATACAGGAAATACAGCCTATTGTATTATGGATGAGAATAATTGTTGGAAATTTCCAACAAAACTGACGGTGACGTTGCCACCTTCACTATTTATTTATTTATTTATTTACTGCACTTATTTACTATACTGCTCCTACCAGCTCCTTGTGACTATTCACACTGATCTACCCACTGTGATTCTACTCACACTGTTCTACCCACTGTGACTCTACTCACACTGAACTACCCACTGTGACTACTCACACTGTTCTACCCACTGTGGTTCTACTCAGGGTATGCTTGTCAGTAATTCTGGTCTGTAGTTAAGTGCCTTTTCCTGTTTTCCCTTCTTGAAAATTGGTACCACATTTGCCTTCTAGCAACTGGGCAACTTTCTCTTCATAAGTGACTCATTGAAGATCCTTGCCAGAGGCACGCTGAGGGCCTGCGCTGCCTCTTTTACTATCCACGATGATACGTTTGAGTGTGTGTGTAGATGTGTGCGTTTGGGGGTGGGGCAGAGGGCAAGACAATTATTGATTGATTGGTGATACTGACATTATAATTCTAAGGTATGCAGGGTGGATTTAATTATTAATGTAATAATCTCCACTGAGGTCTGATAAAAATCTGTTGTGCTCTGTGCAAATTTTTTTGCGCTACCGCTCACAGGAAGAGTATGGGGTGCACAATAAGCTAGCCGCCTCCAGCGACACAATAAAATACAATGACAACCCAGTTATTCAGTTTCATGAGGAGCATCACTTGTGCTCAGTTATCTTGTTGACAGGTTGCCTGGTGCGCTAGCAACACACACCTGGGGTAGGCAACAACTGGGAGTAAGCAGGCGATGAGTCACAATAACGTGGCTGAAGTATGTTGACCAGACCACACACTAGAAGTTGAAGGGACGACGACGTTTCGGTCCGTCCTGGACCATTCTCAAGTCGTCCTGGAGAATGGTCCAGGACGGACCGAAACGTCGTCGTCCCTTCAACTTCTAGTATGTGGTCTGGTCAACTGGGAGTAATGACACCTGGGGTTGGCACCAGCTGGGAGGGTAATGACACCTGGGGTTGGCACCAGCTGGGAGGGTAATGACACCAGGGGTTGGCACCAGCTGGGAGGGTAATGACACCAGGGATTGGCACCAGGGGTTGGCAACAGCTGGGAGGGTAATGACACCAGGGGTTGGCACCAGCTGGGAGGGTAATGACACCTGGGGTTGGCACCAGCTGGGAGGGTAATGACACCAGGGGTTGGCACCAGCTGGGAGGGTAATGACACCAGGGGTTGGCACCAGCTGGGAGGGTAATGACACCAGGGGTTGGCACCAGCTGGGAGGGTAATGACACCAGGGGTTGGCACCAGGGGTTGGCAACAGCTGGGAGGGTAATGACACCAGGGGTGGCAACAGCTTGGAGGGTAATGACACCAGGGGTTGGCACCAGGGGTTGGCAACAGCTGGGAGGGTAATGACACCAGGGGTTGGCACCAGGGGTTGGCAACAGCTGGGAGGGTAATGACACCAGGGGTTGGCAACAGCTGGGAGGGTAATGACACCAGGGGTTGGCACCAGGGGTTGGCAACAGCTGGGAGGGTAATGACACCAGGGGTTGGCACCCGCTGGGAGGGTAATGACACCAGGGGTTGGCACCAGCTGGGAGGGTAATGACACCAGGGGTTGGCACCCGCTGGGAGGGTAATGACACCAGGGGTTGGCACCAGGGGTTGGCACCAGCTGGGAGGGTAATGACACCAGGGGTTGGCACCAGCTGGGAGGGTAATGACACCAGGGGTTGGCACCAGGGGTTGGCAACAGCTGGGAGGGTAATGACACCAGGGGTTGGCACCAGGGGTTGGCAACAGCTTGGAGGGTAATGACACCAGGGGTTGGCAACAGCTGGGAGTGTAATGACACCAGGGTTGGCACCAGGGGTTGGCAATGTTACCTATCGTACGTTACGGCTCGTGATCCTACAGCAGCCAACTTTAATAAGTCTAGGGATACGACACAACTGCTGTTCTCAATAGCGAATCACCAGTATAACCCCTTAATGGGTAATGAGCACAAAATAGAATCTTCATAGGACTGAAGAA